TATAATATTACCTAATACACTTATACTTAGTGCATAGTACATCGTAAGTATATATATATATTATATATATATATATATATATATATATATATGCCATATATATTCGATATAATATTACCTAATACACTTATACTTAGTGCATAGTACAGCGTAACTATATATATTATATATATATACGCCTTATATATTCGATATAATATTACCTAATACACTTATACTTAGTGCATAGTACAGCGTAACTATATATATTATATATGTATGCCTTATATATTCGATATAATATTACCTAATACACTTATACTTAGTGCATAGTACATCGTAATTATATATATTATATATATATACGCCTTATATATTCGATATAATATTACCTAATACACTTATACTTAGTGCATAGTACAGCGTAAGTATATATATGTCACGACCCGGATTTCCCACGCTCGGGAGTCATGATGGCGCCTACTCGTAGAAGCTAGGCAAGCCAAATTTATCGTTTACGACATAATCTCTTTTTAACAATTCATGGTAACAATATAAAAACAACGAAATTAAATAGCAGCGGAAGTCTTAATTATTGAAACTGAATCAAAGTGCGGAATAGTCAATATAAGCCTCTACCCAGGACTGGTGTCACAATACTCACGAACTGCTAAGAAATACTAATACAAACGTCTGAAAGAAAACATAAGCTGTTTTTCTCGAATACAATGAGGCAACAGGCTAAAAAGAGAGGATAAGGGAGACGCCGGGCCTGCGGACGCCTGCAAGGCTACCTCGGGTCTCACCGGACTGAAGGCCTGCTCCCACCCTAGTGCTGTTGCTGCTGCTCGAAACCTGGATCTGTGCAAAATAGCACAGAGTGTTGTATCAGCACAACTGATCCCATGTGCTGGTAAGTGTCTAGCCTAACCCCGGCGAAGTAGTGACGAGGCTAGACAAGACTACCACATAAACCTGTGCAATTTCATATATATATACAGCGGAATCGAAATACAAAACAGATAAACAATATGGGAGGGGAAGCATGCTGTGGGGAGTATAACAATTTCCAAATAAGAGTCGTCCAGTAATAAAGGAAAACAGCACAACTCAATAGTATGTAATGAAACAGAGTTCAACCAGTGCACGGCATCACCCTTCGTGTTTTTACTCTCGTACTCACCAAGCAATAATATGTGCACGGCATCACCCTTCGTGCTTTTACTCTCATTCCTCACATATATTAGTAGAATCGGCACGGAATGGTACATCGTGCGGCACGGCATCACCCTTCGTGCTTTTACTCTCTTTCTCATAACAAGCAAACAATGCACGGCATCACCCTTCGTGCTTTACACTCTTTCCTTACCATAAACAAACAATGCACGGCATCACCCTTCGTGCTTTACACTCATCCTCACCCAAACAACAATCACAGACAAAAGGAGCAAGGGGATTAACAGTTTATACTAGATATCCCGGCAAGGGAGCACAGTTGAACAATAAATCCCGGCAAGGGAACACATTTTACACAATAAATCCCAGCAAGGAAACACAATTTACACAATAAATCCCAGCTAGGGAGCAACTCAATAACTCATTCTCTTCTGTCGCTTTCACCTCGTAATTTACATCATCACTTGAGCCAATGCTCCAAAGATTTACTTATCTCATAAAATCTCACAAATTGTATTTCAACTCGAGCCAACGCTCCACGAAATTTAAAGATCACAATTTCCTTTCTCATACTCTTGCAACATATAGAAGTCATCAATCAACATGGAAGTTATAACCAAACGAAAAATATCCGCAATATAAGGACTCACGGTCATGCTAGACACCAATGAAAAGAAACTCGTCACCATGCCTATACATCGTACTCGATCGGTTAGCAAGTAACAAACAAGACTCAACTCCTATTCCCTCAAGCTAGGGTTAAGCCAAACACTTACCTCGATGCCTTGAACTCAACTCAAGCCTCAACTATGGCTTTACCCCGTAATTCCACCTCCAATCCGCTCGAATCTAGCCACAAATTACTTAATTACATTAATAAACAATAAATGAATCAATTTGAATGCATAAAAATGAGTTTCCCAATGTTTTTCCCAAAAATTCCAAAATCGTCCCCGGGCCAACATGGTCAAAACCCGAGGTTCGAACCAAAATCCGGTTACCCATTCCCCCACGAACTCAAATATGTAATTTGTTTTGAAATCGGACCTCAAATTGAGGTCCAAACCCCAAATTTTGGAAAACCTAGGTTCTACCCAAAACCCCCAAATTTTCCCATGGAAATCTTTGATTTCAAGTTGAAAACATGTTAAATGATGTTAATAATTGAAAGAAATGAGTAAAAACCAACTTACAATTGATTTGGAAGAAAACTTGTTCTTGAAAAATCGCCCAAAGGAGTTGTGTTTTGAAAATGGGGTGAAAAATGTCTTAAAATCGACTAAGTATGAAAAATGCAGGTTGCAGATGTGGGAAATGCGAACTGGGGTTCGCAATGGCGAACCCCGACCTGCTATGGGAAATGCGAACCAGGGTTCGCATTTTTGCGAACCCTCATGAAAAACCCAGACTTCGCATTTGCGAGCAAAAAGTCGCATTTGCGACATTGCCCACTTTCGAATTTGCGAACCAAACGGTCGCATTTGCGACCCAAAACAGGATTCCCCCTTCTCGAATTTGCGATCAAAGGCTCGCATTTTGTGAGATCGCATTTGCGAGAACTTCTTCGCAAATGCGAAGATACCAGAACTGAAGATACCAGATTTTTCAAAAATGCAAAAATGCAATCCGACACCTATCCAAAGCTCACCCGAGCCCTCGAGGCTCCAAACCAAATATGCACACAACCTCATTAACATCCTACGGACTTACCCGTGCGATCAAATCGCCAAAATAACATCAAAAACAACGGATCAAGCCTCAAAACTCATGATTTCTTCCAAATTTTCATAAAACATCAATTTTTCCATTTTAGGTTCGAAACACGTCAAACGATGTCCGATTTCAACCAAACTTTACAGAAAGCGCTTAAACCACATATAAGACTTGTACCCGGCGGCGGAACCAAAATACGGGCCTGATACCATAGTCTTTTAATCATATTTCATTTTTATTTTTCCTTAACCCTTTCCAGAAAACAATTTCACACAAAAATTCATTTCTCGGGCTTGGGACCTCGGAATTCGATTCCGGGCATACGCCCAAGTCCCATATTTTCCTACGGACCCTCCGGGACCGTCAAATCACGGGTCCGCATCCGTCTACCCAAAATATTGACCGAAGTAAAATTTTTCCAATTTAATATCAAAATTTAGCATTTTTCTCACAGAATTCATATTTAAGCTTTCCGGCTACACGCCCGGACTGCGCACGCAAATTGAGGCTACCCCAAATGAGGTTTTCAAGGCCTCGGAAGCACGAAATGAATAAGAAAACAGGTGATGACCCTTTGGGTCGTCACAATATTATATATATATATATACACACGCCTTATTCGATAGAATATTACCTAATACACTTATACTTAGTGCGTAGTATAGCGTAAGTATATATATTATATATATATAAGCCATATATATATATATATATACACACGCCTTATTCGATAGAATATTACCTAATACACTTATACTTAGTGCATAGTACAGCGTAACTATATATATATTATATATATATATATATATATATATATATAAAAGCCATATTCAATATAATAGTACCTAATACACTTATACTTAGTGCATAGTACAGCGTAAGTATGTATATTATATATATATATATACGCCTTATTCGATAGAATATTATCTAATACACTTATACTTAGTGCATAGTACAGCGTAAGTGTATATATATTATATATATATATATATATACGCCTTATATATTCGATATAATATTACCTAATACACTTATACTTAGTGCGTAGTACAGGGTAAGTATAATATATATTAACGGCTTGCATTTATATTATTTAGATAGTAAATACAAAAGTGATTTTTAATTTTGACCATTGTTGACGTTAATATATATATATATATATATATATAGAGACACACACGGCACGCTTCGTAGTACTATTCATCCCTTGTATTACAAAAGTATTAACGGCTTACATTTATATTATTTAGATAGTAAATACAAAAGTGATTTTTAATTTTGACCATTGTTGACCTGAATAGAGACCAACTTTGGTCGCAAATTATACATGAATTTAATTTAGCGACCAAAGTTGGTCGCTAAATATAAATCAGATTTATTTGTATTTTTATAATATTTAAATTAATAATATAATTATTAAAATTTTATAACTAAGTCCGACTTTAGCGACAAAAGTTGGTCGCTATCTGGCAACCCTTTAATTAGTGACCAACGTTGGTCGCAAATTTTAAATTACATATATATATATATATATATATATATATATTTTATAATTTTTTTAAAATAATAATATAATTATTAAAATCTTGTAGGTGGGTCCCTTTTTAGCGACCAACATTGGTCGCTAATCTCAGTAAACCTTTGACCAAGCAAGTCTGACCAGTCCAGTCAACATTTTGACTAATTTAGCGACCAAGTAGCGACCAACCTTGGTCGCTAATGTATTTAAAATTATTATTTTATTATTTTCACCAGTTTAGCGACCAACTTTGGTCGCTTTTCTTGACAGACCAACTTTGGTCGCAAAAGTTTGGTTGCTTTTTACAGGAATTCTAGTAGTGAATTGGTCAAAATGTGGCTGTGGGAAGCCCCAGACAAGGGTTTGGTGAAGAGATCTGCTAGCTGATGCTCCGATGGAAGAAAAGAAAGCGAGATTAGCCCAGAAAGGAACTATTGATGGACAAAATGGCAGTCCAGTTCGACGTGCTTAGTCCGCTCATGGAAGATAGGGTTGCGAGCGATGTGAATGGCGGCTTGGCTATCCGAGTGAACGGGCACTAGTAGAGTGGGTGGTGCTGAGAGATCAGCAAGCAAACGGACCAACCAAGTGATTTCTGCGGTCACCCTCCTCATAGACTTGTATTCCGCTTCTGCTGGGATAAAGAAATGGAGATTTGTTTCTTCGATTTCCAAGAAATTGGAGCACCACCGAGAGTGATAAAGAATCCGCTTACTGAACGACGAGAATCTCTACACGCCGCCCAATCCGCATCACAAAAAGCAATCAAATCAAAGGAAGGATCAGCAGAGAAGAAGATCCCTTGGGAAGGATCTGCTCTCAGATATCTCAAGACACGCAAAGCCGCTGAAAAGTGTGAAGAACAGAGCTTTTGCATATACTGGCTTAAACACAAGAGAGCAAAACAAAGGTTTGGTCTTGTTTTTGTGAGATAATTCAACTTACCTACTAAATGTCGATAAACAGTAGGATCCTCTAATGGTGTGCCTTGGTCTACCTGAAGTTTGCAGTATGGATCCAAAGGAGAAGAGACTGCTGCTCCTGAACAATCAAACTCTTGCAACAATTCTGAGGTAAACTGTCTTTGACTAATGATGAAGCCCTGCTTTTCCCTTAAAATTTCCATCCCAAAAAAATAGTGTATATCTGTACGACCCGAACCCCGCACTGGTCGTGATGGCGCCTCTCGTGAAGACAAGGCCAGCCAACTAACCCAACTCGTCTTTTCAAAAATAGTTAAACATAAATAAACAGCTTAAATATGACTTAATAGTATTAATTAGCGGAAATACAACCCAACACAGCCCTAATCGGGGTGTCACAAGTCACGAGCATCTATTATAGTGAAATTACAACTACAAAGCCGGAAATATACAAAATAGGATTTATAAATAAAAAGAAGAAATGCGGTGCCGCAAACGCTGGCGGTCACCTCGCTCAACTTCGATAGCATAGTCTCTAATCAGCTCAAAACCCGCTACCGGGTGATCTAATACCTGCATCTGCACGCGAGGTGCAGGGAGTAAAGTGAGTACTCCAACTCAGTGAGTAATAAAGGTAAATAACAACTGAGCAGTAAGAAATCACGTAAAGCAACCAACATGCTGTATAGAAGCAGGGTACAATCCTTTGAGAAAAACAGTGAAGCTGTGAAATCTTTGGAAATCTCTTGGCTCAGTTTTAAATCTCTTTTTAAAATGATCTTTCCAACAGTTATGAAATGATTTCAAACAGTTAGTGCAGATAAGCACAGAAAAACCGCCCCTCGGGCACAAATATCACAGTATAACAGGTAAAAAGGCAAGTAAATATGCAAGATGAGCACATAAAAGTTCGCCCCTCGAGCAATATCTCAAAACAGTACCAGCCCCTCGGGCTCTCTCTCTCAGATCACTCTTAAAATAGTATCATATAGTAACCGCTGCGGCGTGCAGCCCGATCCACAACTCGCTGCGGCGTGCAGTCCCATCCATATATCGTCTACGGCGCTCACTGGGGGTGTGCAGACTCCGGGAGGGGCCCCTTACGGCCCAAGCGCAATATCAAGCCACCTCGTGGCATATAAAATAACGCCTTAAAGCCTTCTCACATCACACACGAGGCCTGAAAGCCTCCTCATATCACACTCGAGGCCTGAAAGCCTCCTCACATCACACTCAAGGCCTGAAAGCCTCCTCACATCACACTCAAGGCCTGAAAGCCTTCTCACATCATACTCGAGGCCTGAAAGCCTCCTCACATTACACTCAAGGCCTGAAAGCCTTCTCACATCACACTCGAGGCCTGAAAGCCTTCTCACATCACACTCGAGGCCTGAAAGCCTCCTCACATATGGCCCTCGGCCTCACTCAGTCCGAAAATCATCACAAGCCCCTCGGGCATTTGTAAAACAGTAGTTCTCAGCCCAAAATATCATTTAGAAATATCATTTAAGTTTCAAATCTGAGTAAAATTGGATGAGTTTGTAAAACTATAAATATCAACAGGACTGTGTCCAAATAATACGTCAAAACAGTGAGGAAACAGTGATAAAATCCCTGAAGGGTTCAAATAATTGGCACGAAGCCCAAATATGGCAATCAGCCCAAATCATGACAATAACAAATAAGTTTCAGTCAAATATGCGGTAAAATCATCAATCGGGACGGACCAAGTCACAATCCCCAACGGTGCTCTACCCCACGCTCGCTATCCGGCGTGCAAGTCACCTCAATATAGCACTACGGTGTGCAAATCTGGGGTTTCAAACCCTCAGGATATCATTTACAATCATTACTCACCTCGAACTGGCTAAATCTCTAGCTCGCAACGCCCTTGCCCCTCAAATCGGCCTCCACGCGCGTCGAACCTATCCAAAACCAGAACGAATACGTCACAATATGCCAATAGAACAATACCCAATCGAAAACAATCAAAAAATATTAAAAATCTCGAAATTGGCAAAACCCGAGCCCCGGGCCCACTTCTCGAAACTCAGAAATTTTCACATCAATAGGTTCCTCATCTCCTCACGAGTTCATACATACCAAAAGTTCTCAAATCCGACCCCAATTGGTCCTTCAAATCCCCAAATCAAATTTCGAAATCCCACGCCCTAGTTCTTCAATTTTAGGCTTAATTTCCATGAATTTCTAGGTAGATTTCACAATATAATCAAGTTTTAAGACCAAGATTCTTACCTCAAGTCGATTCCTCTTGAGTCCCTCTTCCATTTCCTCCAAAAATCTCCAAAAACGAGCAGCCATGGGTGAAAAATGACCCAAAATCGCGGATGAAATGAAGTTATAACCTTCTGCCAAGCACTGACCTTTCCTCTATGCGATCGCGGCCCAAGGCTCGCGATCGCGAAGCACAAAATTCCGGTCTCTCAAAATAACCCTATGCGAACGCGACTGGGGCCCTGTGAACGCGATGCCTTTCATTCCAAACCTACGTGAACACGAGCCATAAGATGCGAACGCCAAGAATAACTCTACCGGGCCACCAGGTCCTCTTATGCGAACGCGGATTCTCCCATGCGAACGCGATGCTGCACCATCTATCTCACTGCGATCGCGAACGCGATGAACAAAACGCCTGCCTCCTAAATTCCTCTTATGCGATCGCAGCCCCAGGCTCGATCGTGAAGGCCAAAATACCCCTGCAACATCTGATGAAATTTCTGAAATTCTCAAAGCCAAAAATGGTCCGATTGACCATCCGAAACTCACCCGATGCCCTCGGGACCTCAACCAAAAGTACCAACACATCCTAAAACATCATTCAAACTTGTTCCAATCATCAAAACACCTCAAACAACATCAAAACCATCAATTCACATCGAATTCAAGCCTAAGTTCTTCTAAAACTTTCGGAACACGCTTTTGATTAAAAACCCAACCAAACGACGTCCGAATGACCTGAAATTTTGCACACACATCACAATTGGCATAACGAAGCTACAGAAACTCTCGGAATTCCATTCCGATCCTCGGATCAAAGTCTCACCTATCAACCGGAATTCGCCAAAATACTAACTTCGCCAATTCAAGCCTAATTCTACATCGGACCTCCATAACAACTTCCGATCACACTCCTAAGTCACAAATCACCTAGCGAAGCTAACCAAATCATAAAAACTCCGATCCCAGCTCATATACAAATAAGTCAACTCTTGGTCAAATCTTTCAAATTCAAAGCTTTCAATTGAAACTGTTCTTTCAAATTCATTCTTAATTTTTCCTGAAAACCAAAACCAGCGATCTACCTTAGTCATAATACATAACACGGGGCAAGTCATGCCCGAGAACTGGCGATCAAATTGCAAAAGCTCAAAACGACCGGTCGGGTCGTTACATCCTCCCACACTTAAACACACGTTCGTCCTCGAACGACCCAGAGCTATTTTAAAAGCCAACCAATCGCTGAATAACCTTACCATGCATATACCCGGGGGTGATCCCACGTCACTCTATCTCATATAGGTCCGATAACACATTTTAACTAAAATCACACAATCCAGTCTAGCCCATGAGTCATAGAACAACATTTCACTTTCCGAAATCACACACAAGGTTAGAACCTCACATCTATACTCTGAATAATCCCGAACCAGCTGTAATAACCCATACCTGCAACCTCAGGTGCAATTACATGATATACCACATAACTCAAACACTCGAAACGATAACTTCTATTAACAGTAGCTGCACATAACAACCGAATATCAATAGGAAACCTCTTACCAACTAAAGTCTCATTCCAACACTTTCACATACTGCCAATGATAAAGGAAACACACAACAAACCATAACCATTTCTCAGGTCAACCATTCATGAAGTCACTTCCTTCTTTTTTGCTAATACCACAGCAGATTTCCGAGTCGAGCCTCGATATTATCCTTCCAACATGCTGAAATCAAATCCGTTCGTATTCATTAATGACCCCAACGATCACCTCGAATCCAACACACCACTCTGGTGACATGACACATCAATACAGGCCTAAGCCACAACTCGCATAATTCGCGCACCGATAAGAAACGGTCTGAATATCCTCAAATCAAGAAAATAACCCCAAACGAAGGAACTGTATCTCAAGCTCATCAGTACCATCATAACAAAAAGCTGAGACCCCGTCTCACATCATAAAAATAGAACACATGAATCTACCCCGAAAGGTCTTATTTCCACGTAGCCTCGCTACAATGCGCGATCCTATCCAAACAATGTTACACATGAAACACCTCGAGTCATTATGCTCAAAAATCGACAGTTACGCACAATTTGATGTCTGGAACCAAAGAAAATCATTACACCCACGGTGCAACAAATAACATATGCCACGCAAACCCGATAGGACATGACCGATACGCCATTACTTTCCCGCTCGACTTCCACTAGGAGACCCCAAATGAACCGCACCATATGTGCCCATAACCAACAAATCACAACACCTCGCAACACAGAAAGGTAATTCATTGATCTCACCAGATTATTAATAAGCTCAACAACAATCGAATCGACACTTCCCTCAACAATGCAGTTCGGAGCCAACCGAGCCGACTCAAGCTAGAACACCATCCGCATTGGCCTACCAATGAACTCCTTATTAAGGAAATCCCGAAGCTGGCCCCTCAACTCCTTAACTCTGCCGGTGCCATACGATACGGTGCCCGGCACCAAATCAATACCGAAATCCACAACCTCGCCCGACGACATGCCCGGCCACAAGAAACACATTCGAAAAGTCCCTCAACACCGGAACTGAATCAATATAAGGAGCCTCAGCACAGACACTCATCACAAGAGCCCAAGTACGAAAGACAATCCTTCCCAGCCGTCAGTTCGCAATATTAAACAACTCTACCAGGATATACTCCGACACACCTCGCCACTCAACCCGTGGCATTCCGGCATAGCTCATAGCGCAATAGTTCTGAATAACCCAACACGGAGACAACCAGTCTAAACCCCAACATCACATCCGGATCTAACATACCCCATCATAGCCTGATTATGAGAACTTCCGTCTCCACATCCACACAACACATGAATCACCATATCCGATCCCAATTTCGCCGTCCGAACCCATGCCACACCTTTAATACCCAATCATTTACTCTAAGATTTCCCTGTGCCACCAAGCAACCCGAATATCACCAGTCGACCCAACAAGAAAGTGCCGCAATACTATCGAAATATCATCAGTTTAATCACATTACCCCTTCTCTGAAATATATACTCCCGTCAAATCACTTCCAATTAGCAGTACCATTTCCTTGATTACCTGAGGCTACCTGTTGCCTAAGAATTTTATGAACTTCTTTTCAGAACTGAACTGTAACTCATCTAGCCAAGAACTTCCACTGATCCCATTTGGAAGAAAAAAAATCATTACACATCCCATGCTCCGCATGCCTATAGAAAATATACATCTCCAAACCACGGTAAAACCCAACAAGAACTCTCTCCTAATTCCCTTTGCACAAGCTAAACTGCTAGGACTGAATCCTTCTAACCAGACCAAGCTAAGCAAGCTGTCAGAACTCAAGAGCTTTGCTGCAAAATACCTGTACGACCTCATTACCTCGAGCACACACAAAGAATTAATCATATCCTTTCCATACCGATTCAGTCTACCATCAAGCTACTTCATCTATCTAGATTTCTTTCTGTATTCTATTTTANGAAAACACAGATCATCCCGTACTGTAACTCTTCTGCAATTCTCGCATTCATTCCCGCAACAATTAAGCCCACTCTCTTCAGCGACCCGAAATTCCAAATTTCAACACATACTTTTCACTTACATATGAGATCTTCCAACATACACATAAGGATCACACCACTTCAGAACACTCCGCAGGAGATAGCCCACCTGCTTCGCCTCAATATAACATTTCAGTATACCTCCCACCGTCATACACATTACACAGCCCCTTAGTCTCCCTGAGCCTGAACTCATACCGCAACATGAAATTTACTTCACTCCCAACTAGGAGACACGAAAGATTCTTCACGCGCCCATAACTCGGAGCTACACATCCAATCACAATGGAAATCATACACTTAATAGTTCATCTATCATCCAGCAGACCTTCCTCATCACTTCCAAGTCACGTAGATACATCTCGCAGTACCAATACACTCTTTACATAGCTACCCAGCCGACACTTCCACTAATAAGGACAATACCGAACATATAAGTTCAAAACACTTATTCACACAGTCAGCACATCGGTGCTCAAGCCATAGGCAAAGATCCGGCGTCAAGTCCTCCAGACTGGCCCAACATCAAACTCACAGAGATCATATCTTGCCCCTTGATCGAGGAATCACAAGCCATCAAGGCACATCTGATACTGAGCGCTCATGCGCGCATACAAATGCGTGGAAGGAATTTCAAGAGTTTCTTTTCAAGCTGAATCAAGGACGCACGATAAGAATTCAAGAATGTGAAGTTTCCTAAAGGTTATGCAGCCTCTCGAGGATAAATACAGACGTCTCTGTACCGATCCGCGAGAGTCTACTAAACCTGCTCAAGACTCGTGAGACCTAGTAACCTAGGCTCTTATACCAACTTGTCACGAACCAAACCCCGCACTGGTCGTGATGGCGCCTGTCGTGAAGACGAGGCCAGCCAACTAACCCAACTCGTCCTTTCAAAAATAGTTAAACATAAATAAACAGCTTAAATATGACTTAATAGTATTAATTAGCGGAAATACAACCCAATACAGCCCTAATCGGGGTGTCACAAGTCACGAGCATCTATTAGAGTGAAATTACAACTACAAAGCCGGAAATATACTAAATAGGATATATAAATAAAAAGAAGAAATGCGGTGTCGCGAACGCTGGCGGTCACCTCGCTCAACTTCGATAGCATAGTCTCTAATCAGCTCAAAACCCGCTACCGGGTGATCTAATACCTGCATCTGCATGTGAGGTGCAGGGAGTAAAGTGAGTACTCCAACTCAGTGAGTAATAAAGGTAAATAACAACTGAGCAGTAAGACATCACGTAAAGCGACCAACATGCTGTATAGAAGCAGGGTACAATCCTTTGAGAAAAACAGTGAAGCTGTGAAATCTTTGGAAATCTCTTGGCTCAGTTTTAAATCTCTTTTTAAAATGATCTTTCCAACAATTACGAAATGATTTCAAACAGTTAGTGCAGATAAGCACAGAAAAACCGCCCCTCGAGCACAAATATCATAGTATAATAGGTAAAAAGGCAAGTAAATATGCAAGATGATCACATAAAAGTTCGCCCAACGGGCAATATCTCAAAACAGTATCAGCCCCTCGGGCTCACTCTCAGAAACACTCTCAGCCCCTCGGGCTCTCTCTCTCAAATCACTCTCAGAACAGTATCATATAGTAACCACTGCAACGTGCAGCCCGATCCACAACTCGCTGCGGCGTGCAGCCCGGTCCATATATCGTCGACGACGCTCACTAGGGTGTGCAGACTCCGGGAGGGGCCCCTTACGGCCCAAGCGCAATATCAAGCCACCTCGTGGCATATAAAATAAGGCCTGAAAGCCTTCTCACATCACACACGAGGCCTGAAAGCCTCCTCACATCACACTCGAGGCCTGAAAGCCTCCTCACATCACACTCGAGGCCTGAAAACTTCCTCACATCACACTCAAGGCCTGAAAGCCTTCTCACATCACACACGAGGCCTGAAAGCCTTCTCACATCACTCTCGAGGGCCGAAAGCCTCCTCACATCACACTCAAGGCCTGAAAGCCTTCTCACATCACACTCGAGGCCTGAAAGCCTCCTCACATCACACTCGAGGCTTGAATGCCTCCTCACATATGGCCCTCGGCCTCACTCAGTCCGAAAATCATCACAAGCCCCTCGGGCATTTGTAAAACAGTAGTTCTCAGCCCAAAATATCATTTAGAAATATCATTTAAGTTTCAAATCTGAGTAAAATTGGCTGAGTTTGTAAAACTATAAATATCAACAGGACTGTGTCCAAATAATACGTCAAAACAGTGAGGAAACAGTGATAAAATCCCCGAAGGGTTCAAATAATTGGCATGAACCCCAAATATGGCAATCAGCCCAAATCATCACAATAACAAATAAGTTTTAGTCAAACACGCGGTAAAATCATCAATCGGGACGGACCAAGTCACAATCCCCAATGGTGCTCTACCCCACGCTCGCTATCCGGCGTGCAAGTCACCTCAATATAGCACTACGGTGTGCAAATCTGGGGTTTCAAACCCTCAGGATATCATTTACAATCATTACTCACCTCGAACCAGCTAAATCTCTAGCTCGCGACGCCTTTGCCCCTCAAATCGGCCTCCACGCGCGTCGAACCTATCCAAAACCAGAACGAATACGTCACAATATGCCAATGGAACAATACCCAATCGAAAACAATCAAAAATTATTAAAAATCTCGAAATTGGCAAAACCCGAGCCCCAGGCCCACTTCTCGAAACTCGGAAATTTTCACATCAATAGGTTCCTCATCTCCTCACGAGTTCATACATACCAAAAGTTCTCAAATCCGACCCCAATTGGTCCTTCAAATCCCCAAATCAAATTTCAAAATCCCAAGCCCCAGTTTTTCAATTTTAGGCTTAATTTCCATGAATTTCTAGGTGGGTTTCACAATATAATCAAGTTTTAAGACCAAGATTCTTACCTCAAGTCGATTCCTCTTGAGTCCCTCTTTCATTTCCTCCTAAAATCTCCAAAAACGAGCAGCCATGGGTGAAAAATGACCCAAAATCGTGGATGAAATGAAGTTATAACCTTCTGCCCAGCACTGACCTTTCCTCTATGCGATCGCGACCCAAGGCTCGCGATCGCGAAGCACAAAATTCTGGCCTCTCAAAATAACCCTATGCGAACGCGACTGGCCTGCGAACGCGATGCCTTTCATTCCAAACCTACGCGAACGCGAGCCATAAGATGCGAACGCGAAGAACAACTCTACCGGGCCACCGGGTCCTCTTATGCGAACGCGGATTCTCCCATGCGAACGCGATGCTGCACCATCTATCTCACTGCGATCGCGAACGCCCAACCGCGAATGCGGTGAACAAAATGCCTGCCTCCCAAATTCCTCTTATGCGATCGCAGCCCCAGGCTCGCGATCGCGAAGGCCAAAATACCCCTGCAATAGCTGATGAAATTTCTGCAATTCTCAAAGCCAAAGATGGTCCGATTGACCACCCAAAACTCACCCGAGGCCCCCGGGACCTCAACCAAAAGTCAACACATCCTAAAACATCATTCAAACTTGTTCCAATCATCAAAACACCTTAAACAACATCAAAACCATCAATTCACATCGAATTCAAGCCTAAGTTCTTCTAAAACTTTTGGAACACGCTTTTGATCAAAAACCCAACCAAACGACGTCCGAATGACCTAAAATTTTGCACACACATCACAATTGGCATAACGAAACTACAACAACTCTCCGAATTCCATTCCGACCCTCGGATCAAAATCTCACCTACCAACCGGAATTCGCGAAAATACTAACTTTGCCAATTCAAGCCTAATTCTACACCGGACCTCCAAAACCACTTCCGATCACACTCCTAAGTCACAAATCACCTAGCGAAGCTAACCAAATCATAAAAACTCCGATCCGAGCTCATATACAAATAAGTCAACTCTTGGTCAAACCTTTCAAATTCAAAGCTTTCAACTGAAACTGTTCTTTCAAATTCATTCTTAATTTTTCCTGAAAACCAAAACCAGCGATCTACCTTAGTCATAATACATAACACGGGGCAAGTCATGCCCGAGAACTGGCGATCAAAGTGCAAAAGCTCGAAACGACCGGTCGGGTCGTTACACCTAAATACTTGACTTTGAATTCTGTGTTGAGGAATGTGCAAATGTGATCAATTTCCTTTGTGTCATTGCCTGTAAGTAATATATCATCTACATAAACAGCTAAAATGGAAATTAGGCCATCTTTCTGTTTAAAGAACAGGGAATAGTCATTAAGGGAACTAGAGTATCCTTTGAAACCGAGAGCTCCTGCAAGCCTAGAATACCATTGTCGTGAGGCTTGCTTCAAACTATAGAGAGACTTCCTCAATAAACAGACTTGATTAGGCTTAGGGGGAACAAGTCCTGCAGGAAATCTCATGTACACTTCTTCCTGTAAGTCCCCATGTAGGAAAGCATTATTAACATCCAATTGAGAAACTTTCCATCCTTTCTTTACTGCCACTGTTAAAAGACATCGAATGGTAGTCATTTTCACCACTGGTGAAAAGGTCTCAAAGTAGTCTATGCCTTCCCATTGAATGTCCCCCCTTACTACTAGCCTTGCTTACAACCTCTCCACTGTTCCATCAGAATTGTGCTTCACTTTATATACCCTCTTGCAAGGAAAGGCTCTCTTCCCCTGTGGCAAGTCCACAATGTCCCAAGTGTGATTAAACTCAAGTGCCTCAATTTCTGCTTCCATAGCCTTCCTCTAACCTGGATGTGCAGAAGCTTGAGCAAAACTATTTGGTTCTGAAGTAGTAGATAGTGTTTGAAGTACCTTTTGGTTGTTGAGTGAAAGAGCACCAAAAGAAAACACACTAGGCTTGGAGGGTTGAATGAAATAGGAAGAGGTAAGATCAGAAAGAATAATAGTATTACACACATAGTCATTCAAATATGCAGGCTTCTGAGTGATCCTTTTTGACTTTCTGATTGGAGGAAGTGGAATGGGAATAGGACTATTAGACAGAATTGGAACTGGAGAATAAAGGGGAGAGTGTGTATCACTAGAGGGTGGAATAGAGTGTGAATTGGTTCTAGGCATAGTGATAGGTTCAGCAGGAGAGACTGAATGATTGGTGTTAGGTGGCTGAGTGAAAGTAGTAGCTGGCTCTGTTGTGGAATCAATACACACATTGTCTGTTGATTCTGCTTGGGCTCTAGGGGCAGGATAGAAAGGAAAATCACATGGTGAGACTGATGTGATAATGTGACGATCCAAAGGGTCATCACTTGTTCCCTTACTCATTCTGTGCTTTTGAGGCCTTGAAAACCTTATTTGGGGTTGCCTCGATTTGCGTGTGCAGTCTGGGCGCGTAGCCGGAAAGCTTAAATATGAATTCTGTGAGAAAAATGCTAAATTTTGATATTAAATTGAATAAATTTGACTTCGGTCAACATTTTGGGTAAACGGACCCGGACCTGTGATTTGACGGTCCCGGAGGGTCCTTAGGAAAATATGGGACTTGGGCGTATGCCCGGAATCGAATTCCGAGGTTCCATGCCCGAGAAATGAATTTTTGTGTGAAATTGTTTTCTGGAAATAATTAAGGAAATTGGAAATGAAATTTGATTAAAAGACTGTGGTATTGGGCCCGTATTTTTGTTCCGGCGCCCGGTACAATTCTTATATATGGTTTAAGCGATTTCTGTAAAGTTTGGTTGAAATCGGACGTCGTTTGACGTGCTTCGGACTTAAAACTCTAAATTTGAAAGTTTATGAAGTTTGAAGAAAAACTAGTGATTTTGAGGATTGATTCATTATTTTGATGTTATTGTGGCGATTTGATCGCACAGACAAGTCCGTAGGATGTTTTTGAGGTTGTGTGCATATTTGGTTTGGAGCCCCGAGGGCTCGGGTGAGTTTTGGATAGGTGTCAGAGTGCATTTTTGAACTTAGGAAAATCTGGCATTTCAGTTCTGCAATTTTCGCAATTCCGAAGCAGGCCTTGCAATTGCGAGCTCGCAAATGCGAGCCTGGCATCGTAATTGCGAGGAAGGGGGCACTCTGCTGGGTTCGCAAATGCGACCAAAAATCTCGCAAATGCGAGGTTGGACATTTCGCAAATGCGAAGTTTAGTGTCGCAAATGCAAAGACCCCCAAACAGGCCTGAGTTCGCAAATGCGAACATTTTTCTCGCATTTCCCATACCTTGCGAACCCAATTTCGCATTTCCCATATCCGCAGCCCAGCATATTTTATACTTAACCGATTTTGAACTTTATTTTTCACATTTCTCAAACTCAAACACCCATAGGCGATTTTCCAAGAAATCTTTCTTCTCCAAATCAATTGTAAGTTAATTTCTACTCATTTCTTTCAATCATTAACATCATTTAACATGTTTTCCACTTAAAATCAATGATTTTCATGGGTGAAATTGGGGGTTTTGGGTAGAACCTAGATTTTCTAAAAAATTGGGGATTTGGACCTCAATTTGAGGTCCGATTTGAAAACAAATTACAAATTTGAGTTTGTGGGGGAATGGGTAACCGGGTTTTGGTTCGAACTTCGGGTTTTGACCACGCGGGCCCGGGGGCAATTTTGGAATTTTTGGGAACAACTTTGGGAAACTCATTTTTATGCATTCAAATTGATTCATTTAATGTTTATTAAAGTAATTAAGTAATTTGTGGCTAGATTCGAGCGGATTGGAGGTGGAATTACGGGGTAAAGCCATAGTTGAGCCTTGAGAGTTTGGTTTAACCCTAGCTTGAGGGAATAGGAGTTGAGTCTTATTTGTAACTTGCTAATTGTCGAGTACGATGTATAGGCATGGTGACGAGTATCTATACATTGGTGTCTAGCATGACCGTGAGTCCTTATTTTGCGAATAGTTTGGTTGTTGTTATGCCTTCCATTCTTAATTGACGACTTCTATATGTTGTAAAGATTTTGTGAAAGAAATTGTGATCTTTGAACTTCGTGGAGCATTGGCTCATACAAGTTGTGAAGGTATATGAGATAAGTAACTCCTTGGAGCATTGGCTCAAGTGATAATGTGAACTATGAGATGAAAATGAAAGAAAGAGAAGAGTTAATGATTTATTCCCTTGCCGGGACGTTGTTGGTTATTGATGTTGTACCCTTGCCGGGTTTTTAATTGTTTGTTTGTGTACCCTTGCCGGGACTTCCATTCTTGTTTTATTATTCCCTTGCCCTTGTTTGTGATTGTTGATTAGGTGAGGAAGAGTGTTAAAGCACGAAGGGTGATGCCGTGCATTGTTTGTTTCTTGTGAGGAAAGAGTGTAACGCACGAAGGGTGATGCCGTGCATTATTTGCTTATTGTGAGGAAAAGAGAGTAAAGCACGAAGGGTGATTCCGTGCCGCACGATGTGCCATTTCGTGCCTATTCTATTGATTATATGTGAGGAATGAGAGTAAAAACACGAAGGGTGATGCTGTGCACGTTTGTTTATATTATTGCTTGGTGAGGATGAGAGTAAAAGCACGAAGGGTGATGCCGTGCATTTGTTGATCTCTGTTCTTTATTGTTGTATGAGTTGTGCTTTTCCTTCGTATTAGTCAATTTATATTTGAAACTGTTATCTCCCATAGCATGCTTCCCCTCCCATATTGTTTACTTGTCTTGTATTTCGATTCCGCTGTATGTATATAACTGCTCAGGTTTATGTGGTGGTCCAGTCTAGCCTCGTCACTACTTCGCCGGGGTTAGGCTAGACACTTACCAGCACATGGGGTCGGTTGTGCTAATACTACACTCTGTGCTATTTTTCACAGATCCAGGTTTCGGGCAGTAGCAGCAGTAGTGTGGGAGCAGGCTTAATTTCAGCGAGACCCGAGGTAGCCTTGCAGGCGTCCGCAGGCCCGGGTTCTCCTCTATCCTTTATTTTTATCTGTTATCTCATTGTATTCGAGACAAACAACTTATGTTCTCATTCAGACATTTGTATGTAGTAATCTTAGCAGTTCCTGAGTACAGTGACACCAGTCTTGGGTAGAGGATTTTGTTGAACTCTCCGCATTTCTATTCAGTTTCTATAAAATGTTAAGACTTTCGCTTATTATTGAATTTCGTTGCTTTGTATTATTGTCGTAAATTGTTCAAATGGATTAGATTATTAATGGACAAGTAATTAAATTTGGCTTGCCTAGCTCTCATTAGTAGGCGCCATCACGACTCCCGAGGGAGGAAAATCCGGGTCGTGACAAGTTGGTATCAGAGCTCTAGGTTACATAGGTCTCACAACTCACGGACAAACTTAGTAGAGTCTGAGGGATCGGTACGAAGACGTCTGTATCTATCCCCCAGAGGCTACCGAGTTAGGAAAAGTTTCACATTTGTTCTTTCATTATCGTGCGGTTTGGTTTCTCAATGCTAATTGAACTTCTACTCTATTCTTTCGCAGATGGAGAGAACATGCGCTTCCTCATCTTCCGATCTGCAGTCCGAGCCCCAGACAGCTCCCGCTAGGGGCAGAGGGCGAGGCTGAGGCCGGGCTAGAGGCCGAGGTAGGGGCGGAGCCCAGCCCCGAGCAGTAGCACCAGTGGCGGAGCCTCAGGTTGACATTGATGAGGAGGTTCTGACCCCAGCCCCAGCAGTTCGGGTGGGCCCAACTCAGGTCCCAGAGGAGTTTATTGCTACCCCAGTTCTTCAGGACGCTCTAGTCCGATTGGTGGGCCTCATGGAGAGCGTCACCCGAGCAGGTTTGCTTTCTGTAACACCAGCCGTCTCTCAGGCTGGAGGAGGGGCCCAGACTCCTGCTACTCGTACTCCGGAGCAGAGAGTTCCCCCGATTCAGACTCCAGCAGTTCAGCCAGTGGGAGCAGCTCAGCCGGATGTGGTAGCCCAGGCCGGTGATGGGGCAGCTATGTCTACCGATGCTTTATGGAGGTTGGATAGGTTCACCAAGCTCTTCACTACTACTTTCAGCGGTGCATCTACCGAGGATCCTCAGGATTATTTGGACAGTTGCTACGAGGTTCTTCGAAACATGGGTATTGTTGAGTCCAATGGAGTGGACTTTGCTGCATTTCACCTATTTGGATCCGCCAAGACTTGGTGGAGGGATTTTTGTTTAGCTAGACCAGCAGGGTCTCCAGCCTTGACCTGGGATTAGTTCACGCATACATTTTTGGAGAGGTTTCTCCTTGTCACACAGCGTGAGGCCTATCGGAGGCAGTTTGAGCGTCTGCATCAGGGATCCATGTCAGTCACCCAGTACGAGACCAGGTATATTGAGTTGGCTCGCCATGCTACTGTCATTCTCCCCACTGAGACGGAGAGGGTGAGATGATTTATTGATGGACTCATCCAGCCTATTCGTCTCCAGATGGCTAGAGAGGCGGGGAGTGATATTACTTTTCAGGAGGCGGCCAATGTGGCCCGGAGGATCGAGAAGGTATTGCCACAGGGGGGTGGTCATAGAGCAGACAAGAGACCCCGTCAGTCAGGCCGATTCAGTGGTGCCTCATCTGGAGGCAGAGATTCTTATGATAGGGGTCAACCTTCTAGGCCTTTCCAGTCAGCCCTCCAGGTTTCTCAGGGTGCCCAGGTGATCGTGGTTTCCGTGGGCATTATTCTGATCAGCAGCCATTCAGTGCACCGCCAGCTCCTATCAGTGCGCCGCCGCTTCAGAGTTTCCGTAGTGGCCATTCAGGTCGACAGGGCCAGCAGACTCAACAGCCGAGGACTTGTTGCACTTGTGGTGACACGGGTCATATTGCCAGATTTTTCCCTCGAGCACCGAGCAGTTCTCAGCACCAGGGTTTTCGTGCCATGGTTCAGGCACCAGCTACCCCACAGCCCGCCCAGCCAGCTAGAGGTAGGGGTAGAGGTTCCAGAGGTGGAGGTAGAGGTCATAGAGGTGGATCTCAGACCGCCAGAGGTGGAGGCCAACCAGCACCGGGTCGTCCCAGAGAGGTAGATCAGAGTGGTGGGGCCCAACCCCGATGTTATGCTCTTCAGGTTAGGCCCGAGGCAGAGGCTTCGGATGTAGTCATTACAGGTATGGTTCTGGTTTGTGATAGAGATGCTTCAGTGTTGTTTGATCCGGGGTCTACGTATTCGTATGTGTCATCCTATTTTGCCCCGTATTTGATCATGCCTAGTGATGCATTGGGTATTCCTGTTTATGTGTCTACGCCGGTGGGTGATTCCATCATGGTTGATCGAGTCCATCGCTCTTGTGTTGTGGTGATTGGGGGTCTGGAGACTCGTGTAGATCTGTTGCTTTTAGATATGGTCGACTTTGATATTATATTGGGGATGGACTGGTTATCACCCTATCACGCTATCTTGGACTGCCATGCCAAGACTGTAACCTTAGCTTTACCGGGTATGCCTCGCTTAGAGTGGAGAGGGACTCCAGGTCATTCTACCCGCAGTGTTATATCATATGTGAAGGTTCGGCGTATGGTCGAGAAGGGGTGTTTGGCTTATTTAGCTTATGTTCGGGATTCCAATGCTGAGGTTCCCTCTATCGATTCTGTGCCCGTTGTTCGTGATTTCCCTGATGTTTTTCCTTCAGACCTGCCGGGTATGCCACCCGACAGGGATATATATTTCTGCATCGATCTGGTTCCAGGCACTCAGCCTATTTCTATTCCGCCATATCATATGGCCCCGCCGGAGTTGAAGGAGTTAAAAGAACAGTTGCAGGATTTGCTTGAGAAGGGTTTCATTAGACCCAGTGTCTCTTCTTGGGGTGCGCCGGTGTTATTTGTCAAGAATAAGGATGGGTCAATGAGAATGTGTATTGATTACCGGCAATTGAACAAGGTAACGGTCAAGAATAAGTATCCACTACCGAGGATTGATGATTTTTTCGACCAGCTTCAGGGTGCCAGGGTATTTTCCAAGATTGACTTGCGATCTGGTTACCATCAGTTGAGGATTAGGGCATCCGATGTCCCTAAGAAAACCTTCCGCACTCGGTATGGGCATTATGAGTTCTTGGTTATGTCATACGGGTTGACAAATGCCCCAGCAGCTTTCATGGACTTGATGAACCGCGTGTTCAGGCCTTATTTGGATTCATTTGTGATAGTGTTAATTGATGATATATTGATATACTCCCGCAGCTAGGAGGAGCACGAGCAGCACCTTAGAGTGGTTCTTCAGACTCTGAGGGATAGTCAGTTATACGCTAAGTTCTCGAAGTGTGAATTCTGGTTGGGTTCAGTTGCATTTCTGGGCCATGTTGTATCACCAGAGG